AATATTTCAATGATCAATTTGTTGCTTCGTTATGGGATTATGTTAATTATCATTTTTATTATATATGATACTCGAAGGGTAGAAAATTTATGATCCTGTTCTTTGTCTATGGATACGTTACGTCACGTTTTATCCGAAGATCAAGAGCAGAAACCAACCTTGACATTGATGCGCAGAAACCGTTTCCTGGCTTGGAGAAAGTTATTTTTTATTATAAATTTGTCCATTTATTCGTATTTTGCACCGCATAGTTATTATAAATATATTTCCGACATTATAGAAAATAAAATTGTGATTAATGAAATTGGATAGAATACGTAAATTATATAGGATTTATTGTTTTAGAATTCGAGAATTTCGAAAAGCTAAATTCTATTCTACATGAAAAATTAGAAATTCCGAATACCTTAAATTTTTATCTGATTTTCTATGCTTGATATATGCAGATTTATTTCTAAAATTTAATCATGAATTTATCATAAGAATTTATTTCTCGGACATTTAAGAGATAATATACGAATCTCATTCGCAAATCACGTAGCCTTCTAAACTTTCACCCGTAGTATTACTTGTTACATTGTTAAACCTCAAAAGTTTCCACTTAAACAGTGTTATCGAAATTTAGTTACAATTTCTACGAACTCGCGTAATTATATTGTCAAAATAAAGTTCAAGAAATAGAGATCTTATTTAATAAATTTTATGCAAGTATAAAGAAAAAACTTACTCCAATATTAAAATATTAAAACTTAAAAATTCAAAGACTCGAAAAATTTCTTCACGCGTATATAAATCTTTACGTAACATCGTTTTGTTATCAAATCACTTTACATACCAATGTACCATTAAAAGAAATTTACTTATATTCCATCCGCACATTTAGTATTCCGACTTATCTTTGAAGAAATTACAAGTATACTTACCTACTTCCAAGTTTTTTATCCTATCAAGAGAATAATTCTTGCCTGAAAAAAGGAAGGAAGAGAAAAGGAGAGTAGTCGGTTATTTTCGTTCCGTGTCCTATGATAAGGTACCTTGGTACCAGTTTCAAAGAAACGATGTCGAGGCAGGGCTGTAAAAAGGATCTTGGCCCCGAAACCAGTTTGGTCCAGGAAAATCCGCAAGCAAATTCTTTTTTGTCGTTTTCAAAGTGTAAAAAATGGAAGCACAAAACAGTACTCGGTATTGGCCATCGACCTGTGACTCGTGAATTCGAACGAAATCTTGCGATTACTGCCGCGAAACCGGTTAAAGCTCGCTCTTTGCCTTGCGACCGTTCGAATTTAAAAAAAAAAAAAAAACGTATAATTTGCGAATATTGA